AGCCAAGATCGCACCGTTGCACTCCAGCCTGGGCGACAAGAGTGAAACTCCATCTCAAAAATAAATAAATACGTATAGTGCCCTCAATTAAGTGGAGTTCCCCCCCACCCCCCATTTGGAAGTTCAGACTTTCCAATGCACTCTAATATTTTAGACTAGACATTCATTTTTATCTTGGACATATCAAGTTCCCTAAATTTTACACATCATGTAGGGGAAGATTGAAGTTGTTCTTATAAGGCTCTTTAGGTGTGGGTGGTGGGAGGGAAGAAAACTCCACAGGTAAGGGGAAATGTCACTAGAAGACAAGTTATTTCCATCACAAAAACTTGTTATTATGAGAATACAGGTACCACTTCCATAAATAAGACTCTGGGCAGTGACCATCAGCTCCATTTACAAGCAGGGAAAGAGGAAGTGACTCACTGAAAAGGCTATCTACCCATTTGGCAAGAGTGCTTGCCCATTTGTTCACTTACAGACTCATTTTCAAGGACTAGAAACACACAGTCTCTGAAATGTACTGTTAAAATATCCCCTTTTCACATTTGCCTTTAGCTTTAATAAAAGTCTCCCCAATACTGAAATTTTTGTTTAGTCATAACTATCACTCTTTTCTTTAGCATCTCTGATTTTGAGGGCATACTTAGAAAAACCTTCCCTCTACAAAGATTATATAACATACTTTTACCTGTGTTTTACTTTTCAATATGTAATTTGTTTATTCGTTTATAATTTAAATAGATGGTACAAGATAGTGCTGTGTAATTTTTTTCCCTAATCTTTTGCCATGTTTCCCAAGATTGTTTTTAAAAAAACCACATCTTTTACCCCAATGATTTGACATGCCATAACACACTAGATATAAACATAAATTTGTTGTGCCAGGTAAATATTATATGTTTCAAAGTGCTAAAATAATTCGGACTGGGAACGGTGGCCCACGCCTATAATCCCAGCACTTTGGGAGGTTGAGGCAGGCAGATTACTTGAGGTCAGGAGTTTGAGAACAGCCTGGCCAACATGGTGAAACCCTATTTCTAATAAAAATACAAAAATTAGCCAGGCATGGTGGCGGATGCCTGTAATCCCAGCTACTCAGGAGGCTGAGACAGGAGAATCACTTGAACCTGAGAGGCAGAGGATGCAGTGAGCCAAGATTGTGCTACTGCACTCCAGCCTGGGTGACAAGAGTGAAACTCTATCTCAAAAAATAAAAATAGTAATAATGAATTGGGAGGCCATTCAGCAAAGATGGTTCCTATACAAGCAAATGGAAACTCAACTCAATGTAAACACTGAAAACGAAACTTAAGCTAAGCCAATCAGACACCGCCAGCTCACCTCTAACTAGGAACTTCCCACTTGTCCCAGTGAAATATTTTATTTGTCTTGCTTCTTTAAATACTTCATAAGTTTCCCCCTCCCACTTCTTAGGAAGAACACTGAACTGCTTGTGTTCTAATGATACTCAGTTCAGGAATCACTCAGGGCTCAAACCAACTAGCTAAAATATTACTGTGCCTAAATTAATCTGTTAACAAAAGCTAAAATTATTGTATCTTTACCTGACACAACAGACTTGAATTTACCAGAATATAATAATTATTAATAAAATAATGTTACATTTTATTCCTCTTTTCTAAGGTATAAAGGTTTAGATTCTTCTAGTCCTTTATGTTCGTATACACATGTACATGAAGTCACAGAAATTCTACAGTATTTCTAGATTTATGTTAATATCACAATAAGCATATCATGCCACAAACTAATTTTTTATTAAACAGGATTTTTTTAGATATAGACCTAACTCATTTATTGAAAGTACTGTCTAGTGTTTTAAGAACGCATTTTCTCATTTTGTTAATAAGAAATGCTTCAAATACATAAAGTAGAGAAAATAATACTGCACACACACAAGTATAATCTAGAATCCATTTTGTGTATAGTCTGAGCTACATTTAATTCTTTCCTGCATGGATAAGCAAGAAATAACTCATCTACTTGTTATAACAGCTTGGAAACTAGGCAAAAGGAAGACTGCGTGTCCTCTCAAGGTCATCTTGGAGCACTGTCCAACAGGCCCACCCAAGGAACATTTAATTCCCTAGGGGGTATATATTTTGTTTGGCTTGCTATTTACTATTAAAACCTACACTCTGTAAAATTATGTTAACTTGTAGATTTTTTAATCTGGTAGATATGCAAATAATTTCTGTGTGGTAAGATTATGGTTTTATTACTTTGCTGGAGGTTAACCAGTTTAGTGCATAACAAACCTTATTTCAACACTTATTCTTTCCTCAGTTCTCCAAATGCTGTTACCAGTTTTACCATCTTGCTTGATTTCCTCATTGACATGTGTTGATTCCATAATTATGATACTTTGACATACTGGATTATTCTGCTGTCTCTTACACACAGCAATTTTCCATATGTGCGCAGGTCTGTTTCTGGGCATTCTTTTGTTCCATCACATATTTGCCTCTCTCTGCACTAGTCACACCATTTTTATTATCATGGCTTTCTGAGACCTGTAAGCCAATTGGGGCAAGTTCTCTACTTTATTAAATACTCTTTTTGTCGGATTGCTATTATCACACCTACATTCTTGTTTATGAATTTCAGAGTTAGTCATTATAACATTACAAGCAAGTCTTGCTGGAGTTTTGACTGAGAATTCATTACGTTATTAGGAAATCTACAGAGAATTGTTGTCTTTATAACATTGCATCTTCACATCTTTACACATTTATTCAGGTCTTCTCTTATTTCCTTCAATAAAGGCTTTTAATATCTGAACACTGTACTGACATGCATGTACCCTTGCCAAAGAGCCATGCTAAATCTTTATACCGGAGGCTATGAAAAGTAACACACTGAACTTCAATTACACCTATTAGTACATTGGAATATATGCCCTTATTTTGTCTTGTTTTAACGGCTCTAACTTTTAAGTTTTTAAACAGCTTTATTGAGACATAATTCACAGATCATAGAATTCACCCAATTAATGTTTATAATCAATGGTTTTTAGTATATTCAGAGACTATCACCACAATCTAATTTTATAACATTTTGTCGCCCAAATGTATCCATCTATTAGCAGTCACTCCTCATTCTCCACTCCACCTCCTCTAGTCCTAAACAACCACTAATCTACTTTCTCTGTCTACAGATTTGCCTATTCTGGACATTTCATATCAATGGAATCATAAAACATGTGGTCTTTATGCTTGGCTTTTTCAGTTAGCATGTTTTCAAGATTCATTCATGTGGTAGCATGCAACAGTACTTCACTCCTTTTCATTGCCTAATATTATCCCATTGCATAGATATATCACATTTTGTTAATCATTTGTTGATAATATATTAATTATTTTTGGCCATAATGAATAATGCCGTTATGAACATTCATGTACAAGTTCTTGGTCAGGAACAGTGGCTTACTCCTGTAATCCCAGCAGGACTTTGGGAGGCCGAGGCGGGCAGATCACTTGAGGTCAGAAGTTCAAGACCTGCCTGGCCAACATGGCAAAACTCCATCTCTACTAAAAATACAAAAATTAGCTGGGCATGGTGGTGTGCACCTGTAATCCCAGCTACTTGGGAGGCTGAGGCAGGAGAATTGCTTGAACCCGGGAGACGGAGATTGCAGTGAGCCGAAATCGTGCCACTGCACTCCAGCCTGGGTGACAGAGTGAGACTCCATCTCAGAAAAAA